AAAAAAAAAAAAAAAAAAGTATCGACATATTTTCAGACAATATCAGAAGAAAATTTCATAAAGATAACTTCCAACTAAACAGGATGACTACAACAGCAGCTACAGAAAACAATGAGCTCCAGACAAGCATATACTCTCATCTTCTAGAGATGCTCTACTAAATCTTATGCAGGATCTTTACACAGCAGAAGGCGAACGAAAACAGAGCACTTTAACTGGCATTTTGACTGCTTATGACAGAATGAAGATGCTATTACCTGAAAATGTGCGTTAAGACAAATATCTCGATAGTCCTCCGACCCAATTCAGTAAGTCGTTTCTCATCACGCTCAACAGAATCTTTGTTGAAATCCTCTCCAGCAGTCCCATCCTTGAAAAAAAAAAACCACAGAAACAAAGCATGCATCAAAATTGCCATTCAATGATGATTTGAGACAATAGTACCACGTAAAAGCCAAAGCGAAAAGCAGCGGATTCTCAATATAATATGCAACCAGTACCAAACTCCATGAGTAACAGAATCAGTGAGACTATTGTATACGAAACAATATCTATTATCAGAATAGCAGTGAATTTCAATACAATACACAACCAGCACAAACTCTAAGCATGATGGCAGCAACAGATATCAAGCCATTCACCTAAAATGGCAAAGTTATGGGTGCATCCTAGGAAAGAACAAAATTGAACTGAAAAGTACTCACCTTTGTACGATTTTGAGGATCTTTCTCATCCTTCGGAGGCAAGGGTTCTACAGCAGCCCTCTCAAGAAGTAGCAACACATCATCTACCAAGGCAAATGTATCTTTCTCAATGTGAACAATAGGAACAGATAATTCTTCTGCCTCCAAGTACTTCCCCTTGCCCTTCTTATTCTTACCCTTGTTCTGGGCTTCAAGGGTCTTCAAACCACTATACAGTGAATCCATGACAAGGGTAGATGTGACTTCTTTTTCTATGAAGAAATGCTTCACAACGACTTTTAAAATTGACTCTGATTTTTCACGGGACATGCAGCGCCTTGAACTTTGGTCCATTCCCAGCCAGAAAGCACGGAAGCTGAAAGCTTATAAGAAATTGCATTACTATGCTAGCATTGCTCCATGAACTCACTCTGGATATACCAATGAATATGAGACATTCCACATAAACAGTGATTGCAACAATGGAAGAGGTTACTACAAAATAATATTACCATTTTACCCCATTACTTCCAAAAGAAAAGACAAAAATGATTAAATTTAAATACAAAAATTCATCTTTTCTTTAGCTAACAAGATGGCTTAAAAAAAATTACTTAAATCATACAAGAATTTACTCAAGTCTTTCTTTCATTTTCAAAGAGAAATTGTTCAATGAGCAAAAACAATGCAATAAGAAAACAGTACACATGATTTTTCCTTAAACTACGCACACCCCTAAAACAAAGCAAAAATAGAAACATGAGAAATAGTTTGCATAAAATGTCTACCATGACCACCTATCCCCATCCTCCCAACCCCCAATAGAAAAAGATAAAGAGACCATGCAGATTACCTAGACCACCTATCTTTATCCTCTATCAACTTTCCCAGTTTGGCCCTGTGTTCTTCAACAAAACGCCGGCAGATTTGTTCAACGTTTGTCAAATAAACTCTAACAAGTTCCCTCCGATACTGACAGTCAAGACAACGGAACGGCCGGTCTGCCCTCTCCCTGCAAACCAAAGTTTAAAGATTTATAAAGGAATGAATAACCAGTGCAAATATACTCAAGGTCATTAGGTCCATCCAAACAAATAGACTAACACAACAGTAAATTACATGTAAACAAGTTTCTATATAAAAAGCAGAATTTTACTGGTAATTTAATAATAATAACTACCATTGACTTTACTCCGCATAATTAGTTTGTTTCTAAGTAATGAAAAAACATCCAAACAGACATAAATAAGCCTCTGAACCCAGAAGCTGAGTCCTCTCAAATCTCACACAAATTCAAGAAATGCAATAAGAGAAGAAAACCGTATGAAAGGTGAAGTCCTATAAGAAACTGTAAATCGAACAGCACAAGTTAACCAAAACAAGCTAAAAACAAAGGTGAAAACAATTGCAATATCCCAAAACTCTACAGATGCTTCATAATGTATTCTACCTTCTAGTTTAAACATGTAAGATATTAGCCAATTCACGCTTTAGTAGCAGAGTGGAATGAAATTGCACGCTGATATTCCATTAAAAAATTGACATTACTAGGCCATCGTTATTCCTGAGAAAAGATAATTCAAGGTGCTGTATAAACAGTACCTAATAACTTGAACTTGAGCTTTAATTATCAAAGTATCGGCATCAATAAACCCATCCAATAACTTTGATAGCTCCATAAATTTCTTCCAACCCCAGTCATGCTCCTTCTTCCAGAACCGGTGTAATGTATCTTCAGGTTTGAAAAAGATATGTCAAGGTTGCTTGTTTAATGATGTGATGACGATGTTGATGATGCTTGTAATTGTAAAGTCGTACGGTAGCACCAATAATATAATAATATTTTAATACCAGAATATTTAGATTTCTTAGGATCCTTATTCACCACAGCAATGGTGAACTGCGCAAAGTGACTCCACCCTGTTCATAACATCAATTACCATGTGACAAGCTGCATAACAACGTACTGATGTCATCCGATCATCAACAATTCAATGTTTCATACCTGGAAGAAGCTTGTCATGATTTGCAACACACAGAAACAACGAGAGGTGATTGCAGACATCACAGCCTTGCGGGTAAATCAAAATGTACCTATCAAAAACAGTATTCATTCGACCATAAGCAGAACATATCAACTTGACATATTACATTTTGCACCAAATGAAATGTCCATCACAAGAAAGAAGTAGCAACCTATAAAATAGAGGACGTGCTTGAAGAAATAGTAGATGTAAGAACAACATCAACGGTTGATCAACAAATGACTGAAAAATATCAGTGTTTCAATGGTTTCTTGAACAAAATGACCAAAAAATATACTAGGCAACCCCATGCAATCGAATTGTTCATTTATAGTTTAATACTTCATAAACAAAGACGCATTACTATGGTATAAAGAACAAACCAATAATCATATCGCTAGACCCTCTGGAAACACATTATGATAAACGAGTTTGAGAACAAACAAGAGACAAATATATAAACAAATATATGGGATGGCACCACGCAGAATGCAGAAGCAATGTATTACAGCAATCATTTGACTTAAGAATACAAAAATCAGAAAATTGCAATTCTATAAAGGGCACCTTTTCAGGAATTTTACATGTTCATCCAGAAAGGGTTAGGATCCTCGTCATACGACCACAACTTTTAACCTAATGTCCAAATTGATGACATAAAATATATGTACATTGAACGAGCAAGAAAATCAAATTTAACAATAATACTACACAGACATTAAATCTTTGAACTACTTAGTGAAATATTTCTAGAAATAAGACCCAGAAGATGAATCTAGATAAAGACATACCATCTATAGCCCCCAGCCTCAAATGTATCACTCCGAAGCTCTCTTTTGCTAATTTGCGAGAATTTGTCAATCTTCCACGTATGTTTTCCATATAAATCGGATGGTTTTTGTCCTGCAACACAATAAGAGCTTTAACTGCATATGACAGATATAATGTATTTTACTAAATATATATGTAGATAAAAAATAAATACCCAAACAATACAAAGATAATTGATCAACATGCAGCAACTTTTAAGTCCAAAAGACCGTCATGCATCTTTCGGAAGCGGTTTGTGCACTTTTAAGAATAATAAAATACTTCAAACAGAAAAGAACTAGAATATTACCAACTTGGACCATTGGGTCATGAAGGATTTAAACGAAAGGACAATAAACGATATCCAACTTTTCAGACCAACAAAAATGTATCATACTACCCTACCACATGGGAGTTAAAAGGCTGGATACTGACATATAGTCACTTTAAACTTGACTAACATAACTCAGTATTTTTTTACATTGAAGTGGCAATCTTTCTTTTAGTAACATAAGCAAACATGATGATACATTAGTTTTCTAATTAAAAATCTTCAAATATATAAAATTTTCTTTAATTGACTGATTGTTCAAAAGGAAAGTTGAAAAAGAACTAAAGAAAAATACTGAAAATATTATCCACTAATCATTAATATTTGGCATTCATCCCTAGCCATAAGCACATAGCTTCCAAAATTTTAGGTATACTTTTAGTACAGCATTAGATCACGCTTAAAGGACTGGTATCCTAACAAACATATAACCTATCAGAAATAATAGGAAGGAAAATGAAAACCACGACTTCGGAAATTGTACAGCACCCCAACTCCAGTGAAGAAGGAAAATGAAACTAAAATTAGCTACACAAGATACACTCTGTGATAACAGCATTATCCTTGCATGGAAATTTACAATGAAAGGGACGAAGGATTGACATGATCAATCATAAGACAATAAACACCAGCTGAACCCATTGGAGAAAATCAACATTTAGTAAATATTTTCCAGCAAGCACAACATATAATATGGGTAGAAAAGGCAGGCAAATTTTGATTTTGAGTAATGAGAAATCTTATCAAGAATTCTAAATCTAAATTCTTCTCATAAAAATCTTTTGTGAGTCAAAAAGGCTAGTAAACAAAAAAGGTTGTATCTTGCACAAAAAGTTTACCACAAATTTCATATTCTTCTTGCTTTTCTTGTTCACCTATGCCTTCTCTATCATTCTTCACTTTTACTCAAATGTAAATTTCATGGACTATAATATAATTATTACGTAAAAACAAAAGAACACAAGGTTGTCCAAGGAGTTCTCCTTGGGAAATAATAATAATTTTTCTCTCGATACCTAATCATCACTTCCTCACAACCCTTTTATAAGCTTATTATTTATTCAAGGTTAGGGATGAAAACGGAAACGGTAATTTCCGATTACTGGGAATCGTTTTCGAAATTTTTTCGGATTTGGAGGCTAAACAGAAACGGAAACGGTAACCGAAAAAACGGAAATGGAAACGGTAAAAAAATTCGAAAATGAAAACGAAAACGGTTTAGCCCTTTTCCGATTGTTTTCGAAAATTACCGTATTTAAACGGTATTTTACCGTCGGTAATACCGGGCCAACCCATACTAGCCTCACTTTTAATTATAAAGCCCAATCCAAATCCCAAATGGGCCAAATGCCCAAATCCCCTTCAGCCCAACCCTTCTACAGTGTCCAAATCCTGAAATCCCCTTCATCCCTTTCGATCTTCACTCTCGAGTCTCGTTTGGGAGTCTGTCGTCTCTCCCATCTGCTTGTCGTCTGCTCGTCGTCACTCTCGTCACTTGCTCGTCGCCGCCGCACCCCACTCCCATCACCATCGCAACCGCATGGTTGCGATCTACAGTGCCCAAATCCCCTTCATCACGTTCGGTCTTCACTCTCGAGTCTCGTCTGGGAGTCTGTCATCTCTTCCATCGGCCGACGGCCATCGCAATTCGCCACGCCTGCTCGTCGCCACTCCCGTCACCTGCTCGTCGCTGCCGCACCCCACTCCCATCAACGTCGCAACCGCACCAGCCGCTACAGGCTCCAGCTGCCGCCGCCTACCCCACTTTGGTGGACAAGTTACAATTCAGTTGCTAGTTATTGGAATTTGTATGGATTTTGTTATAGCAAATGGTGTGGATTTTAATTTGGATTTAGCTACTATTATGCCATGAGAATATTTCAATTAATGTTTTAATGCTCTATTTTATAATGTGGTATGCTTATCGTTTTTTAAATACCGTTTTAATATATTTCGATCGTTATTGATGTATTTTCGATCGGATAGTTTCGTTTTCGATATTATCGGAATACCGATGTTGTTTTCGTTTCCGACATTACCGTATCATTTTCGTTTTCGAGAAAAAAATATGAAAGTGGAAATGGTTGAGCCTAATACCGATCGTTTCCGATCGTTTTCATCTCTATTCAAGGTAGTAGTTATAAAGAACAAAAATGATAATAATTTGATTGCCTTCCATGCCGAGTAGGATCCCATGATTCCAGTCAATCAAGTCAATCCCTTGATTTGTGCATTAGATATTTTATTCCATTCTTGCTTTCCTTCTCAAGATTTACTTTCCTAATCTCTATCATTGCCGGTCGCCAGAAAACAGCCTTGTCGACCCTTGTAAAAAAGGTCATTGATTATTGCATAGGGACCACGATAACTAGACGACCCTTGTGAAAAAGAACACCATTGTTTATTGCATAGGGGCCACGAGTTTCATCATGCAGACTGGAATAGAGCATTATATGCTTCTAGTCCTCTGTTTACATTGGAGAGAAGACATTTGTCATGAATTTGATAGCCTTGATTGTGTGATAAATGTGAGGGTACTGCTCATCAATGAGAAAATCTTCTTTAAGAGTGTGCATAGATCCTAACGGGGAATGGGCACCTTGGCAGTCTCATGAGGCTCTGAAGCCGATTGCACCAAAACTAGCGGTAGAGAGGTAGTGGAGACAGTGGATTTAGATTTGCTACCATTCTCCAATGTTAAAATTTCAACATGATTCACAATAACTGAGGATGTGGAATCCACATTAAACAAGCGGCTGACATGATTCACTTGGGAGGTGGCTAGATTGTTGTGGTTGGTTGATAAAAATCGTGTGACCAACTCTGTAAGTTTGATGGCGTCCTCGACATTAGTGAGTCGGCACTCAAGCACCTCTTGACTCTTCTCCAAGGCTTCAACGCGAGATTCAAATTGATAGTAGTAAAGGGCCAATGTATAAGAAACTAAATATAATTAATTAAAAACAAAAGAAAAAGAACACAGGGTTCTCCAAGAACAAGGAGTTCTCCTTGGGAAATAATCCCGCCCAAGCTAAAAAGCCGACAAACAATATTTTTCTCTCGATACCTAATCAATATTTCCTCACAACCCTTCTATAAGCATATTATTTATTTAAGGTAATAGTTATCAAGAAGAATATGACAACAATTTGATAGCCTTCCATGCCAAGTAGGATCCCATGATTCCATTCAATCCCTTGATTTGTGCATTAGATGTTTTATTCCATTCTTGCTTTCCTTCACATGATTTACTTTTCTAATCTCAATCAATTCCATTAGGCTCAAGCTAGACTTCCAAACTTGACATAGTACTGATAGTATACTGAACAAATCATGCTTAACGCTCAAAGTATTAGCTATCAAGATACACAACAAAAGTAATGCATATTTCAACCCAACAACTAATCCATTAGAAATAAATTAAAAAAAAAAAATGTGTAAGGAAACAAAAAAACACCTCCATCATCATCTTCATCATCATCAATGTCCCAATAAGGAGGTGAAGTGGATGGACTCCCATTTTCGACTTGATCCAAAGATCTCCATTCAGTTATTTCTTCCCCGGATTGAGTTCTGATCTGCTGTTGTTGTCCATTTGAAACTCCTTCGGATGACTTTCCAACGCCAGACTCTTCTATTGCAACCCTAGCCATGCCTCCTCACTCCCTTAGCTCCTACTGCCACTTTCTCTAATTTACCTGACTCCATAAAAGCAACACCCTTTTATTCACATTTCCATGAGTATATAAAATAACTCATTTCCTTGTTCATGTCTTAAAAAACAGAAATGCCAAGCTTAATGTGCATAACATATATACCAAAAATCTTGCATTCTTTGATACTGGAATATCAAAAGTTTCTAAGCTCGCACATCAAAAAAGAACTAACAATCTAAAGCATAAAGTAGCAAAACTACAATAGCAACTAATTGAATATTGAATCCAACAACAATCCTCAAACAAATGTCCTAAACTCAATAAGCCACATCAGAAAACCCAATTCCCAAAACCCTAATTCCTAAAATCCGAAATTAAACCAAGAATATCTGACATCTTTCAGAATAGGCGTCCATTGAATCAGAAATCATCTATAAATAAAACACAATGAAATTACAAATCATGGCAGAAAACAAGCAAATCCAATAACCCTGTTAAGTCGCGCAATACCTCATTTATTATAAAA